GTCTCGGTGGAGCCTTGCGCCCGCCCCCGAGCGTGGGTGATTCACCAAGCTCGGCGTGGGGGCTTCTCCCGGCGCGGGGGGCTGCGAGCTAAACTTATCCTCCTGCATATGCATGAACGGGTGGCCTTTCTGCTCGGCAAAGGAGAGGCCTGGAGATGTGCGGGAGGCTGCTAAGTGGGGCGAGAGCAAAGTAGGGCGTCGTGCAAGTTTTCGCACTGGCCGGAGCCCCCTCCCTCTCCAGCCCCTGGGGTGTTCACTGTCGCTCTGGCCAGGGATGTATCACCAGATAGGGCTTTACCTGATTGTATTTCAAATCCAGGCACTCCGCCATTGTTGCAAGCCCGATCCCTGAAGTCCGCCTCCCTCCTCCCCAAACTCACCTTTTTTTCTCATTCCCCGGTTTACACTAAAATGAACACGGCTTTCCCCCAAATTTGCCCTGAGAGCCTAGGCGAGGCTTCTGTACCCGAAGGGCCAGGGTCCAGAAAGAAGTCTGGATCCAGCCCAGAGGCAGGTCTGACACGTGATCCCCTACCCCCAGCGAGCCATCTGTTCTCTTTCCTTCCCGCCTGGAGGCTGGCTGCTCTGCCCGGCACCGTCCACGCCTCCCAGTAGGAAAGAATGAGAAACGCCAAGAGTTGGCGGAACCCAGTGCCTCGGGAGTGTGATTTTAACCTAAACCTCCCAGGGCTTTGGATAGGGATGAGACCTGGCAATAAATATTTTAAATTAAACTCGGGGGATTAGTTCTACCCTGGCTAGTTGGGGAAACTCTGCATTGGGCTCATATTGAATAAAAGTCTCCAGGGAAGGGGCCTGGGAATGGGTTGCATTCAGCCTAGAAATACCTACCTCACTTTGGGCTTGGGTGGAAAACTTTATCTAGGAAAAACGAGGGGATTCTCTAGGCCACTTCCCACAAACTAGCCTGGAGAAAGAAAGACCATGAAATGAAAGAAGAAAGTTAAGGGATTTGGAACAAATTGATATTTGTGCCTGCTATCCCATCAAATATTGATGTAAAGTATTCTGACCTTCACTGCCATGAAGAGCTGTTTGTATAGATGCACAGCAAATGAATTGGTGTTGAAAGAACTTAAGTCTTGCCCAGTTTTTTTCCGTAGGGTTTTTTTTTGTGGGGGGGGGGAGGACCCCTGGAATATTTGGAGTTTGGAAGGAACTATGGAGGTGCATTAATTTAATTCCATCATTTAATTAACAAATAGGGAAATAGCTCTATGAGGTTGCCTAAAGTAACACAGCTCATCTCAGGCCCAGGAGGCCATTGTTCTTGAGAACTTGGATAATAAAGCCAAGGTTTAGGAAGAATTTAGAGAGGAAAATGCACATTTACAAACTAGAAACACTGTTATAGTCTTTGAATTCTCCTACTCCTCCCAGTTGGTTTGTGTGGATTTGAAATGTATATTTATAAAGATTAACTTGGGAGGAAAACAGACCTCATATTTATGTGGTGTAATATATATTTTACTGGTAAATTATTCATTGTAATTAGGAATGATTCATATTAATTTGGGATAATTTATTCTGCCAGAATTTTAATTAGGACAATCACATGCTGGCAAAACAGCATAAGTTGGTGTTAATAATAAAATTTATAATATGCATCCCAAAACAGTAAGAAAACCTGTTGTTGAAAATACAAGAAAAATAAATCCCAATGTAGGAATTATTACTTGTGATGTTAGGGGTGGGAGGGAGAGTTAACCGGGAAATGCAGTCCATTCTCCTTACCTGAGAACCGCCTATCATCAAGGAAAGATTAACAATGGAGTCCCAGAGGCGCCCTTTGCAACTCCCAGCCCCCATTGCCTGTAATCTGTAACCATTATACCCATTCTTATTCCTTTTGCCTACTTCCCCATGTAATCCTTGTCCTTCTACCTAATATAAGCAGCTGGTTTGTAGAGAGAGGAGAGAGACAGAGCAGATTTTTGTGCATGACCTGCTGCTCTCCCTTGTTGCCTGCAATATTGGAAAATAAAACGCTCATATTCAATTCAACCCTGTCTCTGCTTAAGTGGCTCAAGTAGTGACAGGCAGCCTGGACCCATGTGATGTCCGGTTTCATATATATATTATATATGTTTAACTTATAAGCCTTATTGATAACAGGGTGCCTTTTTATTTCTGTACTTCCCCATGCCTAGCTTATTGACAGAAACATAAATATCCGGGGAGTGAGTGAGGGGAAAAGGAGGAAGAGAGTTGTCTATAATTTTCGAATTGTTGGGTTTAAAAAGGTATTATAAATCAAGTCAAGCAGCAGTTATGTTTGCAAATGTGTGTGAGAAATTCACGTGTATGAAATCTCAGTTTTCTTTTTATTCCTTTTTATAATTCTGAAATAAATGAGTTGGAAGAGCGCAGGGTTTATGTTCCATTTGAACAAAATTAAATGAAAATGAATTAAAGAGGACAAGAAGTAGGGAAGGGAAAGTTTATTTTTTAAAAACTGTGGTGACTGATTAATTCAAGTTCCTGGATTGCAATCATCAAGGAAAGATACCTATTTTCCTTCTTTTCTAGAATATCCCCAGGATTAACTCTAGGGCTGTCTGAAGATGCCCAGTGCAATGCCAGTTGCAGTGCTAGTCGGACTGTGGAGAGATCCCTCTGGTATTTGTGCAGGATCTTAAAGAGGCATGCAGAGGTGCAATTGCTAAGTGGTCATGTATCCTTGGGGACCGAATTTGTCCCAGAAAAATCATGAAGTAGGCAAATTCTCCTGGGCTTTAGGGAATTTTTTTTTTCCTAAAATTAAGGGGATTGGAATACCAGAAACCTGAGATGGCTTCACTTTTACATGCTATGATGTATGTACCTATCTTACTATGATGGTGATGATATTCTTGGTTGACCAGCACCATGTTTCTATACTTCCCTTTCCCCTGTAGTCACCTACTGCAGTATCTTCCTCTACGACTTCAAAAGCAAAAGCAAAATAAACTACACTAGCCTTCCGACTGGGACAATTAATTTGAGATCCTACCTTTAGAGAGCAAGAACCTGGTGTTACTTTCTTAACAAAGGCTAACAGCCAGTGGGAGTCATGGTTGGATCTCACTGGATCTGCATCACATAGAGGCAGGTACCTCTCACACCCACTTAGGAAAGTGAATGTATTTTTAATCAATTGTGCTGACAGAAAGCCTTCTGCAAGAGACATTAGCCCTAGATTCTTTTCTTAGCTATCAAGATGGAAAACAACCCCATCATTCATTAAGAGGGAGAGGCAAACTGAGTTAATCAGACTCTAAGACCCATACTAATTGTTGATCAAGTAATGCCACAATATTCAATGGCTAAGGATCTCTGGCTGGTTACAGTTAAGAATCTGTTTAACATAGTTAATATTTCACCAAACCAAAGAGTTCAGTTATTGTTAAGCTCAAAGAGCTAGAAATCAGGAGATCTATGATTTCAATTGAGTTCTGTCACTATCTACCAGATAAGGTAGACAAGCCACTTCTCTGTGTCCCCAGTCTCCACATATGTGAAGGTGGAGGGAAGAAAACATGCCTTAACAATCATGCAGGGGTCTGGGGAAAGGAAATGAACTAAGGATGGTGTGTTGTTGTTTTTTAAAGTTACATAAATGAGGGATATTGTCTCCATTTATTTGAAGGTGGGTTACAACTTCAACAAAAAAAACTGATTTAGAATACATTGCACTGGGGAAGGAGAGGAATTTGGAGGTATCACAAAAGCAATGATGGGGTGCTTCCATGTAAGAATAGCCAAACAAGATGAAGATTGTGCTTTAAAACAGAACTTTGTTAGCTTGGCATTTTAAAAATTAATTGGTCATCGTTCATGTATTGGATGGAAGGACTACTAAAATTCTTTCCAAAAGTGTATTGCATACCAAAACTGAAAAAAAAAAAAGAATTGCTACTTCCTCGATTGTGTTTATAGACTCAGATTGCACTTATTCATCACCCATCCCTTTCCAAACATTTCTCAATTTTACCACCAACAACACAAAATACAAGGATGTGTCCAGTTCCACTACAGCTCCAAGCATTTACAAGTGTTGAGCGCTTGCTTTCGGAACGCCCTTCTGATTGGCTGAGCCAATGTCAGTGACATCAACCAACTTACTTTTCATTGGAAGGCTGGTTGCTGGGACTGTCGCGTTTGCAGGAAGTCACTTAACTGTTTGCAAGCTGGAAGCGCCGCACCAGAAGTTCTCTTTTGCCACAAGAAGGGGCGCAACCGACCAGCGAGCCTAGGGAACGCGAGTCCCACGGCTCCGCAAGCTGGGACGGAGCCAGGAGGCCTGGGCCGGCCCCCGGACCCAGGGGCGCTCCAGAGGATGAGTGCCTGCTCCTTTCCAGCCCCCGGGCTGTTACCCTTTTAAATGTCAGCGTTCGTGGCTGTCGGGGTAGCACGAGGCACCGAAACAGAACTGTCGGATTGGCCGCACGCCTCAGCTCTAGACGCACCTCTCCACCAAAAGGCCCTCCTCACTGGCAGGGGGAGAAAGTAAACAGAGTTGAATCACCCTCCCCACTGGCCAATTGCAGGGGGTTTGGATTGTGACGTGATGGGATTCTGCGAAATTGTTACTGAGCAAGAGAATGCCGAAACGGTGCGGACCGGCCAGAGCAGGGGCTCAGAAACCGTCCGGGGACCGAGGGGGAAAAGTGTCTCGTAGACGTGGCGCTCGGTCCGACCCTCGCCACCCGCGTCGGGGTGGTCGGGTGACGGTCCTGGGTCTCTGACTCCAGGGAGAGGCGGAGGAGGGCGTGTACCTCTCTTGCAGTTTCCTCTCCCGGCGCCTCGGGGGCGTATTCAGTCGACTAAACTTGCGGCCGCCACGTGTGGCATCTTTCCAAGGAAGCCGGCTTGGAGCGGTGGGCGCGCCCGTCGGGGGGGATCGCGCGGGCGCAGGACAGCGCGGCAGCCAGAGGCGGCGGCGCGGCGGCGCTCGGGACCGTGGCGGCGGCGTGCGGAGGCGCTGCCGGTTACGTAAAGATGAGGGGCTGAGGTCGCCTCGGCGCTCCTGCGAGTCGGAAGCGCCCTGCGCCCCCGCCCCCTTGGCCGCCGCGCCGCGTTCGTCGTCCGAGGCCAGGGCAGGGTGAGCCGAACCTCCGCCGCCACCGCCAAGTTTGACCGCGCCGCCGGGGCTGCCGCCGCCGCCCGCACCATGTCCGCGGCCGCCTACATGGACTTCGTGGCTGCCCAGTGTCTGGTTTCCATTTCGAACCGCGCTGCGGTGCCGGAGCAGGGGGGCGCTCCCGACGCCGAGCGACTGCGACTCCCGGAGCGCGAGGTGACCAAGGAGCACGGCGACCCGGGGGACACCTGGAAGGATTACTGCACCCTGGTCACCATCGCCAAGAGCTTGTTGGACCTGAACAAGTACCGACCCATCCAGACCCCCTCGGTGTGTAGCGACAGTCTGGAGAGTCCGGATGAGGATATGGGATCCGATAGCGACGTGACCACCGAATCTGGGTCGAGTCCTTCCCACAGCCCGGAGGAGAGACAGGATCCTGGCGGCGCGCCCAGCCCGCTCTCCCTCCTCCACCCTGGAGTGGCTGCGAAGGGGAAACACGCCTCCGAAAAGAGGCACAAGTGCCCCTACAGTGGCTGTGGGAAAGTCTATGGAAAATCCTCCCATCTCAAAGCCCATTACAGAGTGCATACAGGTTAGCGGCGCCTCCCTCTCCCACCGACCTCTGGGGCTGGTTAACCTTTGGCCTGGTAGCGTTCCCGGGCGGCGAGGACACCACACCGAGCCCGAAGGGTGCAAACATTTCGGATGAGATGCTGTTTAACTCTTTAAATAGTTGGGCCGTGTCGACACGGGCAGCTCACTCCCCTTAATTGCCCCCAGCCTCGGGGAGCCTCGGAGAGCGTGCCGCTGGCGGGCGGAGTGAGTGCTGGGTGCGAGCCCCGGCGCCTGGCTTCGCGGGAAGTGGTGCTGCCCCGCCCCCAGGGCTCCCGCACCCGGCGATGTTGGGGCCACCCTCCCTGGGCAGAGGCTGGCAGGGGTGGGGGTGGGGGTGAGGGGAGAGCCAAATGGCGTACCTTTTATTTGATTCTCTTGTGGGATTGCAGGGAAGTGGCCCAAAACCTGGGAGAAGCGGCACTCTTTACGTGGATGGAACCTTTTAAGGATGACTAAGGACTCGTTTAGCTGTATGCCTGCTGCTTTTCAGGGATTGCCAAGGTGGTTTTAAATTTGGCCAAGAGTCCCCAGAGAGGTTTAAAAGAACACTGCTTCAGGCAGCAAGAGGAGGTTGATCAAGGAATGGTTGGTGGGTTAACTTCATGACTGGTTAGCCTCTTTGATGAGGGAGGTTTCAGAGCTGATTTCCTCCCCCCTTCCCCCCACGTGACTTCGGGTTCACCCTCCACCCTGAACCGAGCAGTTCGGGAGGAGGAGGTGTGGTCCTTGCTGGAGGTCATGGCTGGATAATGACTGTTGAAACGTTCTGGAGGCCCCAAGGAATGGTCTTTCCGAGGGAGAGCGAAGGGCAGGGCTGGCCGGGTGAATGTGGCTAAGAAGACATCTTGCGGGATAAAATGGGCTTTGGAGGCTGGGGTCAGCCAGTTCTGTGGGTTCTGCGGAACGTCCTGAGAAAGTGGGGAAGCGCCGACACTTGGCCATGCGGCCTCACCATCTGTAGGGAGGTTCCTTTACAGCTGCTGTTCTGACAAGGAAGCACGGGGCTTGGTCTTCCCAGGGAGCGCCTTTCCCCACTGCCCTGACACCACTTTTAGAAGGTTGTCATTTTTGTGTAATTTTTGGCACTTTTAAGATCAGGCCCCGGGCCTGTGGTTTTTAAAGTGATAATTGGTTGATTTTGTTTTGTTTTGCTTTTTTAAAAGAAAGGCTACATATCTGCATCTCGTATTTTACTTCCTTTGCAAAATGCTTCTTGTGGAGGTGGCTGCTGGCACAGGAGTAAAACAGTTTCCTTCGTGGTTCATGCAAAATCAGGTTCTGTTTGGGGTTGTCATCTAGGCTGCCATAAAACAGCACATTTTAAAGTTCGCGTCTATATGGCTGTTGACAGACACGTGCCTGAATTGGGGGATGTGACCTTTAATGTGGCTTGCCAGGGGTGAAAGTGGGGTGTATTAACCGAGGGTGTTACTCACCGACAGCTGTTAGGCGGGCCTGGCTGTGTCAGCCATGTTCCCGGAGTTCGGTTGTTCACATGGACACCCACTGCCACCTTGAGCAAAGGCACGCTCTCCTTCAGGGAGCTGCCCAGTTGTGCAGTTGGGGAGGCCCGCAGCGCTTCTGTGGGAGCTACCTGAGTCTATCCGACCCGGGAAAAAAAAGATTCCCAACACTCTGGACCATTCGGCTGAGTGATTTTCCTCAGGCATTTCTAGAAATGGCTGCTTATGTGTGCATGCATGCGTGGTGCTCTTTAATTCTCCATACGGCAAGTCAGCTCAGCTGTTTCAGGAGAACCTTTCACACAGTCAAGAGTGGAAAACGGAGTGAAATGTTAGTCCTGTTTTAAATGCTACAGCCAGTCTTTTGGAACTAGTGATATGGTGATTGCAGGTGTCTTGTTTATGTTCTGGAGCTCTGTAATACCAGGACATGGTAGAACAAAACCTCAGCATCTAAATATGGTCAGAGGGTACTCCTGCTTTAAAAAAAAAAAAAAGGCTACTTTAAAATAAGAGACTTGTAGGAGTTTCCTGCATTCCCAAGTTTCAGATGCAGCTTCCAGTTAGATTGTCATTGGGGTGGGTAAGGAGCTCCCTGATGTTCCTTCTGCTGATATTACTGGTAAATCCAGAAGGTGGATGGGAGATAGGGTTGGAATGTCTGCATTCTGTGAAGGTTGTAAGAGCTAAAATTCCAGCCACACCCCCTGCTCCCTGTGGCCCAGCAACAATCCCTTAGGCTGCTTGCTCACTTCCTATAGAGCAGTGGTTCTCAACCTTCCTAATGCCGCAACCCTTTAATACAGTTCCTCATGTTGTGGTGACCCCCAACCATAAAATTATTTTCGTTGCTACTTCATAACTGTAATGTTGCTACTGTTATGAATCGTCATGTAAATATCTGACATGCAGGATGTATTTTCATTGTTACAAATTGAACATAATTAAAGCATAGTGATTAATCACAAAAACAATATGTAATTATATATGTGTTTTCCGATGGTCTTAGGCGACCCCTGTGAAAGGGTCGTTCGACCCCCAAAGGGGTCGCGACCCACAGGTTGAGAACCGCTGCTATAGAGCCTCCTACTGCTGCCACTTCCATAGAACCACAGGCTTAGAAGTTGAGTCATTTAAATAAAATTGCATTTAATTCAGTACAGCTATACCGTCCTAAGAGAAGAGATGCTTTTGAGGTAGGCTGAGCTGTGCTCTGATTTGTCCTCTGGTTCCCCAGTTGTGAGACCTTAAGCAAGTTACTGGATTTCAGAGTTTGCAAGGCCTGAGGCTGAATTTGCTTTGCATATCTGTTTGCCTTGGCCAGCACATGGTTTAAGAAACTTAGTTACCAGTATCTAAAAATCAGAGGATTTCGGCACGAATCCAGATTTCTGGCTTCTCTGGAAAAATCGAACGATCTGGCAATACTGGGCCTGAATTCCTGCTTAGCAACAATTGGCTTGAGCTGATCTTTTTATGGGGCAGTACCCCTTGTTTTAATCATTTACATCTTCTCTGTTGGCATTTAACTTTGCAACCTCTGCTTCATTTGAGCCTCAGTTTCTTATCCACAAAACAGGGTAGTATCACTAAATGAAAAGGTTCTTGTGCAAAGATAAGATAATATCGATAAAGCACTTAATAGGATTCCACACATAGTAGTCCTGCAAGAAATGCTGGGTCTTCCAGTTTGTGTGATTAGGGGTCTTCAAAATTAGGAAACAGGATCAAGTTTTTTAAAATTGTACGTTAGCTTCCATTTTCTGATACTATGTCCAATTTGTTTTTCTTCAGCCTCTAGATCAGTTATCTTCTCAGGTGATGTACCTGTAAAGGTTAAGCAGTGGATCCACGGTTAATCTGGAAAAAAGTACAACAAATTCACTCCTTTTCCAGACATTTTAGACACTTTGTAATGTTTCATATGAACAATTAGACATGTTGGAGTACTTGGCCTGAAAACATATCGAGCATATTATCTGAAAATGCAACCAGTGTTTAGTTGATCTTGGCACACCACCACAGATCCACACCCAGGTCACTGCCCGCCCCCCGCCCCCCACAGTCCCCACATCCACACACAACACACGCCCCAACCTCCCAGCATACACGCCAAACTAGCCTCCACAAACATCCACTCAAACCCACTTACCCCCCATACCTACTCCTTGTACCTGTGTCCCTTCAACCTTCCCACGAGCACTTATAAAAAGTTTACCCCATCCTGGCTGAGTGGCTCAGTTCATTGGAGTGTCATTCCATACACCAAAGTTGGCGGTTTGATTCCTGGTCAGGGCAAATGCCTAAGTTTCGGGTTTGATCCCCGATCGGGGTGTTTATGGAAGGCAACTGATCCATGTTTCTCTCTCACATCAATATTTCTCTCTCTTATTCCTCTCTCTAAAATCAATAAAAACAACACCACCACCCAGCCCTGGGCAGTGTGTTCAGTGGTTAGTGTGCAGGCAGGCACACTGAAAGGTCGTGGGTTCGATTCCTGGTCAAGGGCAGTACCCGGGTTGCAGGTCAATCCCCAGCTTGGTCGCGGGCAGCCATCAATGCCTCTCACATTGATGTTTCACCATCTCTCTTGTCTCTTCCTCTCCCTTCCACTCTCTTTAAAAATCAATGGAAAAATATTCTCAGGTGAGGATTTTAAGAAAATGTTATCCTGACATTGTGGTCACCCTGTACATAGAATATACATATGTTGGGGGTGGGGAGTATCTTTGGGGGAAAGAAAACTACAAAATTCCAGGTCAGAAGTCATTAGAAGTGCCTGAGGTGGAGTCGCACTAGATTGACATCTCAATGATAGAAACCTTAGGCCTCATTTCCATGCCAGGTGCAATTTTACTCTCTTTGGTGGGACTTAAGTCATCTGTCCTCTATTGGTGACAACAGGTTGAGCTTGATAACACTGTTTACAGGATTCTGAAAATCCCAGCCATCACACTCCAGTTCTGCAGAAAAAAATTTTTTTAAACTTTTTTTTTTTTAAGTAGGGCAGAAGGAAGTTTATGTGCAACAAGGAGAGACAAGAGCTGTAAACACCCCAAGAGTGGCTGCTTCTGTTTCTCCTTAACGCTGTCTGAACATTTCCCTGCAATATTTAAACTATCTGGCTGAAGGGACCTGAATACCCCCCACCGTGGCAGTTCTCTGCCAATATGGGAAATAGATTTTCTGGCCTCTCTAGGAATGTCCAACTCAAACTCTGCTGGGATGTTCCTTCCCTGAGACTAAAGTTTGTAGATTTTGCTCCTCTATGCCAGGCTTGCTCTATACCTCCTGTACTCTTCTCCCTTAATTACTGCTAGAACCTTTAGAGTCAAGGGTTTGGTTCAGGAGAATCCAGTGCCATCAAAGATGTGAGAAGGACCCACTTAACACTGCCCAGGAGGCAGGGGTTCAGGAACAGGGTAAGGTCTTACTGTAGCCACAGCCCTAGGCTAGGAGCCTTATCTCAGAAGTGGGCTACAGGCAGCCCATTTACTAGCCCCTGCCCAGTCTTT